AAAGTTCTAATGTAAATGCCGTATTTGGCTGAATTTACCAAGATTTATCATAAAATTTAAATCATCGTGTTTTAAAGCGGATTTACATATAACATTTGATGATAATTAAAGTACGAATTAGGGTTTACTTTCTTAATCAGGCTAAATTGACCATGATTTACCATACAAATTTAAATCATCGTGCGGCAGGATTTATTTTAAATCATATATAAATATAAAATATAACCCGCTCACAATCTACCAAAATTTGCAACTGTTTTCACATATTGTTTGTTTTTAAATTTAACGATTACCAAATACAAAAATGAAAGATCAAAGGAAAATAAAAATTATTTATAGAATTTTTGTGTTTTTTTATTTTCCAAATGATTACAGCATTGCAAAGATAATGCAATTGTTGTAATTCTTCTTTTCATTTTCAAATTGCAAACGCATATTTTATTTGTATTTCTGGTTTTTCTTTAATCGAGTCGATTTAAAATCGTATATGTAAATGTACTTTCACACTCTACAAGTCGCTGATAAAACCCGTGCTGTTGTATAGATCAGAAGCTGTACCATCTATTCTCGGACAACGGCATAGTCAGAAATATCGAGCTGTAGCGACATGTTGTGAGAATGGATGAGGATGCCCCCGCTCAAAAGGCATATAAAAGCGAGCCAAATGATGGATCACGTAGAAGGGGAAGGCCATGAATTCGATGGAAAGACCAAGTAGAAAACAACATCTCGGAGCATGATCTTTCAAATTGGAAAAGCTGCGCACTAGACCGACGCGCCTGGAAATCTTTTTTAAGCTCGGCTTATGGAACAATTTTTGGAAAGAGATTTGTTACCAAATTACATTGAATTTGGTCGAAAAACGCGTTCAAGAACCCAAAAATACAGAAAATTGATGGCACCCTTATATGAGGGATGTGCCTTTTAATAATTATGCCATGCCATTCAGGATGTAAGCAGCCCAAATAGAGCATTTCCATGGTACAATAAAACAAGGTAGGGCAGCTTGAGGTGATGAACAAAAAAGCAACTATGCACGTGTGGCCTCTTCTGCCAAAAATAAATATACGCAACAAGTGCCTGTGTTTATTTGACATTTTTTTAACACAAAACTAAAAACGCGAAAAATTAATGAAAGGTTATGATTTCTTCCCAAAATCCTGTAGGGAATACCATAAAATGTTTGTTTCATTTATAACAAAGTAATTATTTCCAGACGAACGTGTTAAAAACTTTATTTTCATTTCAATTAAATTTGAATATTTTTCAATTTATTCATGGTATAATAATAAAAGGTAACAGCAAGTGTTGTTGTACAACAATCGAAACAACAACCACAAAGAAATTTTGTTTTTGTAAGTACTACTAGTGTCATCGACACATGAGTAGAAATGTAAACAAAAACAAATAAAAAATATTTATAAATACATATTTTGATGTTTAAATTTCAATTCAAATACTTTTTGCAAACGGACAATTCGATTTCAACGAAACTTCATACAACATATTATCTTTACCAAGCATAAATCAAGTAAGAAGATGGGAACCGTTGGTCCATTCCTTCTAGTACCTCCTCCACAAACGGTCAACATCTTCATCATTTGTAAATCCAACATCAGGAGTATGGAACGTCCGATGTGAACCAAGCGTTGCACAACCCATTTTCTTTACGAAGTCTAGATTATGTCCGAAGATGGGTCCCGTTGATACACTTCTTCTGATACCTCCTCCACAAATGGTCAACATCTTCAATATTTGTAAATCCAATATCAGGCGATTGGAATGTTCGATTTGAAACAAACTTTTCTGAAACCTCCCCCACAAAATAGTCAAAATTGTGCTAAAAATTTAATTTTATAATAACATGCAAACGGACTATCCGATTTTAATGAAACTTTGTACAACCTAATATCTTTACCAAGCCTAGATCATGTAGTACCTCGACCACAAATTGTAAAAAATTTCAATATTTATAAAGGCAAGAACATGGGACCCGTTGATCTACGTCGTCTTTTACCTCTTCCACAAATGGTCAAAATTTTGAATATTTTTTTTTTTTTTTTGTATTATATTATTTCATTTCATTTTTTTTTTTTTTTTTTTGACAAAATGTCAAATGTTGAATTTGACACTAATAGAACGTACGAACCAAATCATCTGGGACTTGCTGTTACCTTTTATTATTATTACTTACTTAGCTGGCTTGTTACAGAACGGTTGTTCCATAAGCCGAGCTTAAAATGATTTCCAAGCGCGTCGGTCTTGTGCGCAAGTCCACCAATTTGGAAGACCACCTTCCAAGATGTTGTTTTCTACTTGGTCTTTCCATCTAATTCGTGGCCTTCCCCTTCTACGGGAACCATCAGTAGGCTCATTTTTATATGCCTTTTGAGCTGGGGCATCTTCATTCATCCGCACAACATGGCCTAGCCACCGTAGTCGCTTCAGCTCAATACGACTGACTATGTCGATGTCCGCGTATAAATTGTAGAGCTCGTGGTTCATTCGACGCCGATATTCACCGTCGACGCAGATCGGCCCGTAGATCTTTCGGAGAATTTTTCTCTCAAACACCCCAAGCGCTGCCTCATCTGCTTGCGCAAGTACCCATGCTTCTGATCCATATAATAGCACGGGTAGTATCAGCGTCCTGTAAAGTGTGAGTTTGGTCTGGCGAGAGGTGGCCTTGTTTCTAAACTGCTTACTTAGACCATAGTAGCATCTGTTGGCCATCACAATCCTTCTCCGAATTTCAAAACTGATATTATTCGGTTTATTTATGGCGGTACCAAGGTATATAAAGTCTTTAACTACCTCGAAGCTGTAGTTCTCAAGTTCCACAGTTGGTCCGAGTCTACTGGACGTCTTGCGCGTTGATACCATCAGCTTGGTCTTCTCGCCGTTTACTGCCAGACCCACTTTTATTACTATACCATGCAATTTATTTTGGATTTTGTTTGACATTGTATTTAAAACATTACACACACATACACAAAATATGTATTTTGATTTGATGGAACAAGCCACCTTGAGAAAAAATTGTAATCAGTTGGTAGCTGTGCCCTACCTTGTAATAATTCTACCATGAACATTTCCATACGCTCATTAATATGCTGTGGATTTTTGAAATCCTGAAAATAAATTAAGGTTCTTTACACCGTCTTTAAGACCATTTCAAAGGACTGTCAGCTGGTATTTATTTACATATAAATACCCACGCTTGTTTGCAAAAAGAAGAAAATGTTTATTTGATACAGTTTTACATTTGTGCTTTATGACCTCAAATACGTTTATTTTTCTTTCTTTTAATCAATTCGATTTTTAATGAATTCTCTGCTGAGCGACTCATTTAATGATAACAGTTGTAATTTTGCATAGTATAGTGTTTTCGTGCGTTGTTTAAAATAAATGACGCTGGAATAATTTATTATTTATGGTAAATGACTCAAAATCTTGCCTAAATCCTGGTTTTCTAATGTATGTAAATGCGCTATTATGTTTCTTGTTATGAAACTCGTATATTGTTTGTCTATGTGAACATTGTTTAACTGTCAGTGCTACTGTTCGAATTTTTAAAATTATGACGCCGTCTAGCTATCAAATAGTAGGCAATGCACAATTCCCACTGACGGCGTCAGTGATAACATTGGCATGGCTCGGTTCTTTATTGCCGTAGACAAATATGACGCATTTGAAGGGGAGATTATAAAAAATGTTTAATAATTCTATGTAAAATAACTAAAATTAATAACATTTAACGAACAATTGTCATTGAATAGCAGTATTTCATCTGTCATTGGAGAACAAACGAAAATTCACGGTAATTCATCAAATAAAACCGATACGATTTTGAGTGTGAAAGTGAAAAGGAAGCGATTTGCAAAAAAAAAACGAAAGAAGAGGGAGTAGTAAATTCATACAAAAAAGCAGCAACAACAACAGAACATCATAACCAGCAAACACGAAACAGCAGCAGCCAGCCAGCCATCAAGTCAATAAGCGATATATCTGAGTGTGTGTACGTCGTCGTATTGGACAAAGGTTTTGTGGGAATCAGTGCGACAAGGAGTTGGAGGAATTCAAAGAATCAGCCTAGGAACTGCGTTTAAATGTTCCAATTGTGATTGGGTAAACACATTTTGCAAGCTGCATTAAAATGGCACAAGTGAACAGAGACTGCTAACTAAGTTTGTTTTGGAGGCACACAATTTTACATCATCAAATCGTCGTCTTCCCCCCGTATCTCTTTTCCATTGATGTTATCTAAAGTATTTGGCATATCATAAGAACGATAAAAAACAGCTTTTGCTTCACGCAACATATTGCCGGCTGTCTAACGCCCTAAATCCCTGACCACTTTGAGAATCAACTCGAACATAACAGAGTGGAAAGAGAAAAGCGAGAAAAAACCAACAACAACAAGAACACAATAAGATATGAACAAGTGAATTTCTTATCAATTCAAAAGTCACAAAAATACGACCCCAAATCAAATCCCCTCCAAAATAAAGAGAAACAAAAATATCAAAGAACGAAACGGAAGCATTTGTACGTCGTATACACGTCTAATCTACCCGCCGTCCGCCCTCTCTAACTAATTACAAAGTCTACATTCATTTACTCTGGTTGCACATGCGGGAAAGGAATATTTTGTTGATAAACAATTTGAATGCATTTGTATGTTAATACGTTGATTAACATTAACTGAAGGCATTTAATGAATTACAGCGACGTAAACAAAGATACCGCATGCTCATCATTCTGTAGTCTTCCCGATTCTCATTGGTTATTAATAAGCATAAAATTATTACCTACCATTTGATTACAGTTGTTTTCTCAGACACTCATCATAATTCCAGTCAAAGTGTAAGAACAAAAAGAAAATATAACAGCAAGAACTTATCCTCCACCCACCACCAGCAGCAGCAGCAATCTTAACTGTCTCATAACAAAAACCAAACACACATACAGATATACGCCAACCAACCAACTATCCAACCACCATCACCATCATAGTCGTCATTTATTGACTGTTACAAAAATGTCTCGTGGTTTTGATCACTTATTCAAACTTTTAATTATTGGCGATAGTGGTAAGTTTACATTCGAATTCTTTGTTTATTTTTGTATAAATACATCTTTTGATATTTATATATGTATATATTTCTTTATATGTATGTATTAGTGCTGAGATGTTTTGTTCGCCCAGTTGTCCTAATTTTGTGCAAATTTTTAAATCTTTTTGTTAGCCACTACTACAAGAGAAGGCATATATTCTGTGTTATATATTGTATGCAACCGTGGCACAAATTTCTGTAATCAAAACGAATTCAATTCAGTACTACAATTCGCAGCGAAAGGGCTATTAGCTGTGATAATATGAGATATACAAATGAGTAAAAGTTTAAATATGATGACTTAGCAACATAAAACATATCAGAGAATAAAAAGGATTGGATATTATTTCTCATAGGATTCTGCAAAGTAAATATCCAGTTGCTTCCATATCTTCACATAGATGCAAGTCAACTGCACTTCAACATTTCCATGGCTCGAGTCTCACTCGGATCTGTCACCACACCAACTAGCTATGCATTATTGTTTGTCCGGGTCGTGTCAGATTCATCTGCAATTTCCTCACAATAGACAATGCACATCAATTACAATAACAATTTACAGTACTTTTTATACCCTCAGCCTTATGGCTAATGAGGATATATACTCTCTGCTACGGTAAAAATGTGCCTCATTGAAATATTGGTTTCAGACCCCATGTTTTTTTATACCAAATCCGATTCAGAAAATTTGGAGTCGATTTACAAATTTGTGTCCGTCTGTCTGGCCAGCTGGTGCGAAGGGAATAATGTATTTCATCCAAACTTTGCACATCTTAATATTTCTTCTAAACATAGTTCAAGTTCGAAGATGGGGAGTGCACCGATATCACTTCTTCTGGTGCCACTCCCACAAAATGGTCAAAATTGCGCAAAAAATTATTGTTGTAATGTCATGCAAACAGACCAGCCGATTTGAACCAAACTTTGTACAATCAATTATCTTTATCAAGCCTAGATCAAGTCCAAAGATGGGACCCAATGATTTTCTCCTTGTGGTACCTCTCCCACAAATCGTCAAAATGTTTAATATTTGTAAATCCAATATCAGGCCAATGGAATTTTCGATTTGAACCAAATTTTGCACAGCCTGTTATCTTTACCTTGCCTAGATCAGATCCGAATATGGGAGCCCTTGTTCCACTCTTTCCTCCCCCACAAATGGTTAAATCCAACATCAGGCGAATGGAATGTCCGATTTGAAACAAACTCTGCAAACCTTTTATCTTTATCTAGTCCAGAGGTAGCATCCATTGGTCCACTCTTTTTGGTATCTCCCCCACAAATGGTCAAAATGCTCAATATTTAAAAATCCAATATCAGGCGAATGGAATGTCCGATTTGAACCAAACATCGCAAACCTTTTATCATTATCTAGTCTAGAGGTAGCACCCATTGGTCCACTCCTTCTGATACCTCCTCCACAAATGGTCAAAATTGTCCATATTTATAAATCCAATATCAGGCGAATGGAATGTCTGATTTGAACCAAGCTTTGCACAACCTATTATATTTGTCTAGTCTTGAAGTCGAGATCAAGTCCGAATGTGAGGAATGGAATGTGTTACTCCGAAAACCACATCCTCCGCCAATCAAAGCGTGAAGGTATAAATCTGTCCCAACACTAACACACATTTTCTCTTGTTAGAATTAAAAATAATTTAATTTGGGAATATAATGTGCACATTTACAACCATACCCAGCAATTCTGCAGTTCTCCCATTTTCGGAAAAATAAGGTCCAATCATATGTGGAGGGACTACTGATGTCTCCTAATGACTCCAAAATGCCTTCCAGTGCGTCTACACAACAAGATGTTGCCGATGCAATAACTGCTTGGATGTTATATCAGCCATCCGAGCCATTAGGCACTTCTGAAAGAATCCTTATGATCTGGAAAAAGAAGCCGGGAGGAACAAAAGTTAACCTCTAGTTCAACAGGCTTGTCAACAAAGATTGAAAAGATTGTAAATGTTGTCCGGCATGTGGTAATGGTCCACCTGACAGTAAACCTATTCAATTGCGAATCCACTCACTTCATTATTGATACAACATATATAACCTAAAATAAAACATGCTACATCAAAACAGAGTATTACCCATTATAGCCATCCCGCCATTGCAAAGGACAGTCTATATTTACATCTTTTCATAGATTTGGTATGCAAGACTATGTCTAGTCATACTATAGGGTATATACTATTCGGCTTCACTATAATTCAATTTATTATTTTGCTTATTTTTGCCTTTTGCCAGATTATGGCTGTGGTATTGTTTATTTGTTTGTTTTTGCATTACATCCATCTTCATTTTTTATATAGCATCTCAGAGCTATATGAGTGTATGTAATCATTCCTGTTGCTGCATAATTCCTATTCCTCTATATGTCAGTTTGTAATGCAGTGAATGGCGTACGTGTGTGTCGTGACTAATCAGCAAATATACAGCATAATTCTGTTGCTATAGTTCTTCTTTGTACACTTGTGTTCGTCGTCACACAGTGTTTATTGTTGAACAACAACAACATAAGATAATCTCTTCTAAGAGATACTATCTTTTGCTCGGTAATTACTGACCTTAATAGTTTAGATTTCACACATTGTGTGTGTTTTATTTGCAAACTTTATGTGCGCAGCCCAAATGAAATGAACTTAGAATCTAATAAAGTAAAACCATAGTGAAATAAATGCAGTTACTGCATCGACAACATCCTGTTGTGACGATGTATCCTCATGTAAATGGTCCACTGGCGTCATAAGGAGGCACCGTGTCGCAGTTCTCAGGACGATTTAAATAAGCTATCGAACGTTACACCCAAAATTTTGGGGTAGTTTGTGGTCGGAATTATTGCACCATCGACCATGATGTTCAGAGCATCATTTCAGCCGTCCATGTGATGAGCAGAGTGGATGTGGATTTGGCGGCGGATATCTTCATATTCCTCAGATGGAAGAACTGTTATAAATCAGCTATGTAGACGTTTAACCTTTCACAGATGTCATCGATAATAGAGCCCGACGCCATGATCGTACAATCATCCGCTTACATATATCTATGCCGTCCGGTGGTTGTGGAATTTCAGAAAGGTAGAGGTTAAAAAGTTCCGGAGATATGACCCCACCTTGGGGAACTCCCTATTTCACTCTAAGGGGTTTAGAGGAAGGTCTCCTGTGACCACATCTGGGTGAAGAAATAGATTTACAGGATTTCCAATCTCTTCTCAAATCCCATCATAATGCGAATTTTGATGCTCATGTGTTCTCTACGAAGGAGTGATCTACTAGGATTGAAAGCAATATCTTGAAACGTTAAAAAATATCAAATATCGGAAGTGTATTAAAAATGCCTAAAGTCTAAGTTTTTTACCCATCAAGAACCCGAAATGCCAAATTATAGCTACTCCCCTCGGTTGGATGATACGGTTAAAACCCTTAAAAAAAACCCCCCGAAATGTGCAAGGCGTTAATAGGGAGCTATATCAAATCAGGAACCTATACTGAAAATGTTCTGAAAATATATTTCAAATTTACAGGAGGAAAATATGGCAAATATTATATTAAAAAATATTCTGCGAAAATGCTTTTCATCCTTCAAGAATCCAAACTGCCAAATTACAACCTCTTCGGTTGAAGAATTTTTGTAAAAATATATTTTCAAAATTCATAAATAAATTATTTGCATTGTTCTGTTAGTCATTCGCGGACATATTTTCAAAAACCGAGATATGTCGAACATTACAATTTTATCAGGTAATCGAGTAAGATATACAAAATTGGCCAACGGCGATAGTTAGATTTACGTTAATTTCTAAATATTTTTTGGGAATATTTCAATACTTATTTTTTTAATAAATTTTGTCTTTTTCTCCTTTAAAAGGCGTTGGAAAATCGTCACTGCTGATACGATTTTCAGATGACACATTTTCGGGTAGTTATATAACAACAATTGGTGTGGACTTTAAAATTCGCACAGTGGTTATCGATGGCAAACGTGTTAAATTGCAAATATGGGACACAGCCGGGCAGGAGCGATTTCGAACAATTACTAGCACCTATTATCGTGGAACGCATGGCGTTATTGTTGTATACGATGTAACAAATGGTGAATCATTTGCGAATGTACGCCGATGGTTGGATGAAATTCAAAATAATTGTGATGTAGTAAACAAAGTATTAGGTATGTATGTGATGCAATTAAAAAATCGGAGATATACTTAAAAGCTCTATTCTCATTTCAGTTGGCAATAAGAACGACGATCCCGAACGAAAGGTTGTCATAACCGAAGATGCGCAACGATTTGCACAACAAATGGATATTGAACTATTTGAAACATCCGCCAAAGACAATATCAAAGTTGAGGAAATGTTCCTTTCAATAACGCGACAAGTTCTTCAGCACAAGTTGCGCACCGCACAAAATGAACAGCAAAAAGATATCATCAATTTAAAGAAGTCGGGCAAACCGAAAAAGAGTAGATGTTGTAGTTGAAAACGGAAGACAGTTTTATTCCAATTTAGACCACCACAACCACCAACAACACCACTACCGCCGTTGCCGTTGTCGCTTTCATTCTATTTTCAAATATCAACATGAACGAACATCTATGTCAGAGAGATGCAGCGAAAACAAGAACATAATTTTGGGAATTATAAATAAATCTAAGAATAAGAAGAAGCATGTATAAAGGATTATTTTGTATAAAAAAATATGATAAACAATTTTTATAAGGCAGAAACAAGAAAACAAAACAGAAAACGAAATTCGTAATAATAGTTATGTAACGTGTAAGAAACACCTCAAAACTCCCAACTGCTGGTGCATGTAATAATCGAATATACATACAATTTAGAGTTAAAAAAAACAGAATGTGGTTTTTTAATTGATATTATAGTGCGCGCATTCAATGTCGTCAGTGTTGAAAAGAAAAAAAACTTTTGTTTTTTTTTTTTTTTGCAGTCATAGCTGGATTGGAACTGGATTGAAAGACATTTCCTTTTGATTGGCCATTGGTCCTCCTAATCTATGTTAGATTTGTTTCATTTCTAATTTTTTTTCTTTGCTTCAATTATTTTGTTTTTGTTTGTTTATAGCATTGAGTTATATCATTTTCTAATGCAGTCTGCAACAGCCTTTCTAAATGTAATTTAATTTGAAGATTCAAACTTTTAAAATTCTTGTAAATTACATTTTGAAATGTTCGACATATATTCATTCATCTTTTGTTTTTCTTTAGAGTTTTCTTTCCTTCCCCACCTCCTTTTGTTTCGTTTCAAACAACCAAATAATGTAATAATGTAAGTGAAATATATTGTCTTACCAACAACAACAAGAAAAACACTCCCACTATTATTTTTAAATATACACACATGCATATATATTATTTAGATTGAGTCGTGTGTTAGCAATTATATTAAATGGCTAAAATTAAAAAAATGAAAACACAAACATTTTATTTCAAAAATTATATAATATATAAAAACAATATTTATATGATCTGATCGATTTATAAAACGATAAAAAGTCCCCTTCCCACATAAAATAATAAAAAATAAAGTATAAAAATTTTAAATTATATATTTTAATTGTTGTTTATTAATTTTTTGGGGATATGGTTCTAAAGTAAAGAAACCAGAAAGTAACAGTCGCTAAAATTGTAACATTTGCGGGTAAAGCAGCAAAAGGAATGGTCTAATTAAAATCATTGTTTGCATCACATCTATGCTCCATTATTAATGTTAATATGGATCAAATTGGATACTAATACGTTTCAAAATGTTGACCCTTTAGGAGGGTCAACCAGAAGACACTCCAATATTCGGAGCCGATTTAGTTTTATAAAACTTGTTGAGGTTTTGCACCTGTGCGAGGTGCATCATTAACATCAAAAACTCCTGAAGGGAATCTAGGAAACCAAAATTGTACATAATTGGCTGTTACAGTATCGGAATAAAAACAGCATTCATAGTTTCTCTTTCTTCACTTCTATTTTTAACACCCTTTAACTCACAAACAATAAACAGCAAAATATTTTTTTACTGCGAAATGTCACCCTTCCAACGAGCATAAATCTGAAATTGATCGATACTTTACGAAAAATCTATCAGTACAGCCAACTGCGGAAAAAATAATGGATTTCTTTTTCCTCAACCTAATATTTGTGGTTTTTCAGTTAAAAATATACACATAACTATTTATAATATTCAAAATCGTCATAAGATACGTATTGTGTAGATATTTTTCATAAAAAATATTTAAAACTTATATTTTTGTAATCAGCGCCCTTTAGCGAAAAATTTCGCACAAAATGTCATTATCTACGTTCTCCCACTCCCTGTTATCCAGAATTTTTCCACCAAGGCGGATTTTTTCACTTTCGAACTTTATTCAGAATAAGGCGAAAACGAGAGCGAAAAAAGTCACTGTGAAATGTTCTTCATAATAAGTCGAAGGGGAAGAGCGAGTAAATTGGAATTGACATCCAGAATAAGCGGGGTTTTACACTCTCTCTCTCTCTCTCATTGGTAGAGTTGGAAAACATTGCCACAGGTAGGAACAAAAAAAGTACGAAAAGGTACCTAAAATTTTACTTCAAATGATAATAAATCATAATTATCGAGAAATATTGGCCAATATTTATACCAGTTATTTGCATAAATAATATATGTTATAATTTAAGCGTAAATGTATTCACGAATAATAAAAAAATCTATTTTTTGTTTTGCTACGTTTATGTCAATTCGTACCATTTGTGAACAAAAAGTACGCTTCTTACAAAATTAAAAATAGCGCAACTCTAATTACTCTCAATTTACCAATGAGAGAGAGAACAACTCTCAACACCAATTCCAATATTCAAAATCGTCATTTGTAGATCTTTTTCATAAAAATATTTAATACTTAAAAAATATCGCTGCGAGTTCTGGTTCAGAATAACGGAGAATTGATGTCCAGAGTAAGGCTGAAGATTTCAGATTACCACAACGAGAGAAAAGATGATGCGGAAACTTTTCCTATAAAAAATCAATATTTTTTATTGAAAGTAAACGTTGTCCACGCTTTGTTTCAAACAATTATTACTCCAATTTTACATTTTAGGTGTCCGATGTCAATGGAAGAGATATTCTTCATAAAATTTCAAAAAGGGTTGCCAAACAATGGAAATCCCTTTTTCTATTATCCATAACTTTAGGATCACAAAACAAAGGAAATTCCTAACTCTAAACAACATTTTCATTGTACAATTAAAAATTAGGAAATTTTCTTCCAAAACTTCAATTTAGAGCTCTAATATCAATAGAAAAAAACTCACCATCAAATTTCAATATGGGTCACCAAACAAAGGAAATCCCTAACTAAAATATTTATAGCAATAAAAATGTAAAAATTATTTGCTTACTTAAAAAAATTAATTGTACAATTTTAAGGTTAGTTTCAAAAATTAGAAATTTTCAATTTAAAGACTTGATACCGGTCACCGAACAAAGAAAATCCCTAACTATCATATTTATAGCAATGAAATTGCAAAGGCAATTTGCTTACATTTTAATTGAAAAATTTTAAGGTTAATTCCAAAAAAAATAGGAAAATTTCTTCCAAAACGTTATTTTGGACTTGATGTCAATGGAAGAAATATTCTCCATCAAATTTCAATACCGGTCACCGAACAAATAAAATCCCTAACTCTAATATTTAATACAATAAAATTGCAAATACAATTTGCTTACATAAAAACGCATTTTAATTGTACCATTTTAAGGTTAGTTCCAAAAATTAGGAAATTTTCTACAAAAATCCGTTTTAGAGGAAGAAATATTCTCCATCAAAACTCAATACCGGTCACCGAACCAAGAATATCCCTAACTATATTATTTTTAACAATGAAAATGCAAAAGAAATTTGTTAGCATAAAAATAAAATTTAATTAAACAATTTTAAGGTTTGTTCCAAAAATTAAAATTTTATTTCAAAACTTCATTTTAGAGTCAATGGAAGAAATATTTTCCATCAAATTTCAATATGGGTCACCAAACAAAGTAAATCCCTAACTATAACTATATATTTATTAAAATAAAATTGTAAAAAGAATTTGCTTACATAAAAACGCATTTTAGTTGTACAATTTTAAGGTTAGTTCCGAAAATTGGGAAATTTTCTTCCAAAACTTCAATTTAGAGCCCTAATATCAATGGAAGAAAAATTCTCCATAAAAATTCAATACCGGTCACCGAACAAAGAAAATCCCTAACTATCATATTTATAACAAAAAAAAAATCAAAAGAAATTTGCTTGCATAAAAAAATTGAATTGAACAATTTTAAGGTTAGTTCTGAAAATTAGGAAATTTCATTCCAAAAATTCATTTTAGAGGCTTCATGTCAATGGAAGAAATTCTCTCCATCGAATTTCAATATGGGTCATCAAACACATGAAATCTCCAACTCTATTTATAACAATAAAATTGCAAATACAATTGCTTACATAAAAGCGCATTTAATTGTACAATTTTAAGGTTAGTTCCGAAAATTGGGAAATTTTCTAAGAAAACTTCATTCAATATGGACCACCAAACAAATGAAATCCCTAACTAATATTTATAACAATAAAATTGCAAATTCAATTCTCTTACCTTAAAAAACTTTAGATTTGTACAATTTTAAGTTTACAGCCTGTTTTTGTAAAATTCTCTTCGAGTGATTTATAACAACTCCTTGGTTTTGAAAAATATGTCATTTATTTTTGTTTTCAATTCAAGAAACATTTTTTTACATAAATAAAAAACATTCGAATTGTTTGTACAATTTTACAAAAACAGGCTGTTAGTTTCAAAAATTAGAAATTTTCAATTTAGAGGCTTGATGTCATAATATTCTCCATCAAATTTCAATATGGGTCACCGAACAAAGAAAATCCCTATCTATAATATTTATAGTAATAAAAATACAAAAGAAAATTGTTCACATAAAAAGTTAAAGTATTGATATCAAGCGAAGAAATATTCTCCATCAAAAACATTTTATCCTATTATACAATAATAGCTATACTAAAAATTGTAAAGGCTTTCTCTGATGCCAAGGTGTGTACCCCATTGCGACACACTTAAATCAAACAAAAATCATCATTGCTCTTATTAATGACATATTTATTTATGTTTTAAGACAATAAACTGTTTGTTGTTGTTATTCAATACCATATGTAAGACACTGCTGCTATTTATTACTTAACATATTAATTCTCTAGATTATTATTTTTTGAGATATTGCCAACAATCATCATACGTTACAAAATACAAAATTAATATAACATTCGAATTTGTTTCAATAAAAAAGTAATAATCTATCGTTAAATCTCTAGCGGAGAATATTGTGAAGAATTGAAATTGGTAATATAAATAAATATCCTTAGCAGAGTAGAATAGTGAAAATTTGAAAAAATCGTATTTTAATGTTATATGATTTCTACATGACGATTGTTGACCAAATTTTGTTTTTTTTCGAAAGTTGATTTGTTGATATTTTGATCTTAAAGATTACTTATTGCAAAGCATTGCTGATCTATGTTGTTTTTCTCTTTTTATTTGTTATTGCTAATATATGTAGTTGTAAACTATTCATAATTGCAAATAATTTTGCATAGTTCTTGTTTGTTCGTGCATCTGCATAGTCTTGCATTAGAGGCAGCTTAAAATATTTTTTGTTTTTATTAATATAATAGTTAAGTAGATTGGTGTGTTTGTGTGTTTTATATTTGCATTAAAAATATTTTTCTTTAGTATAGTTTTTTTTTTGTTTGTTCAGTGTTCAATGATTGGATTGGAATGTTTTGGTGTTTCGTTTTTTTTTTAATTTTAAAAGAGATACATGATTAGTATTAAAAAAAAGAATGTGTATATTGAATAAAATATAATTATATATACTAAGAATAGCATGATATATCTGAAAGACAATTTCTTAGTATAATTAAATCTCTACATATACAATAATCTCGTAGATATTTTATGGAAATGCAATTCTGATAAATTAAAAAAGCAATGAAAAGTGTGATAATATATACAATACTTATATAATTAAAATATTAAAAAAAATAATAAATTAATAAGCTGCGGTTTTAAATAATTGTTGATTTTATATAAATATGTTTGCAGAATTATATTGAAATACAATATATAATATTTAAAAGTTAATCTTTATGATAATGGGTAATACTGAGTTAAGTAGAAATAAACTTAAGTAATTAATTTTAGGTTATATATTTAAAAAACACCAAATGGGTTATTGGCGTAACCTGATGTTATATAGTTGCTAAATGTCATCCGCAGACTAAATAACAATAAATTAATCATTATTAGTTTCGGGATACTGGAAATACAATTACAATAGAAATGGTCATAATACAAAAATTGAAAAATGCATGCAATAATTCCACTGGACTGGGGTTTTCAGATACAACTGTGACCTATGAATGTTTTGAGCAGTGGCAGACATTTGAAGAGCACTTAACAATCTTAAGAATCTTTTATAGAATTAATGAAGTTTCTACCAAGCATTTAACTATCGGAGAACTTGCTGTTAAATGGCGGACTATAAATTCGACAATCATGTAAAAAAGGCGCTGCATTCTTTCAATTAATAATCATATATATTGATTCATTTTTCTGATTGATTACGTTAAGATCAACTTAAATAAGTTTTCTAAAAAAAACGCACACAAAAATTGAATAAATTTACATTGGACGATTGTGTCGTCTTTTGTGTAAATATAAACCAGCAGCTTGGGCAAATGCTGAACCACATATTTTACATACATATTTCTTAACAGCATCGTGTATTTGTTTGTGATTTTGTAGATTTTTCACCGATCTAAATGTTTTGCCACAAATGTCACAGGGATATTCTTCATCACTGTAATGCAGCTTGGCATGTTCATTCATTTTAGAGCGCGTCGTAAATTCCCTTGTACACGTTGGATAGGGGCATCTGTGTTTAACCGACGACTTCGATGAATCTTCCGATGCCGAATGATAGGGTGAATTATCGCCAGTTATTATTTCATCATTACTATCGGCTGGTGTTATGAGATTCAAATCCGGTAGCAATAATTCATCATTATGCCTTCGCATGTGTTCGTCGTAATTTCCCTTTTCACGGAAACTAGCTGTACACAGATCACAATGATATTTTACTTCTTTAAGTTGTGGATGCTTTTGTTTGTGACGATTCAATTGTTCCAAATCTGTGAAACATAACTGACAAACCGGACAATAATAATTTGAAACGCCATTGTAACCACTACTGCTCGCACTGCCACCAAGACTTGGAGATTGTGATTTGTGCTGATGTGACAATAAGTGAGTATCCAACTCACGTGGTGAATTTAAAATCATTGGACAATGTTCACATTTAAATGGTGCAATATCGCTATCCATGAAGGACATTAACTCATAATAGGTATAATTGGGTGTAAATGATCTTCCTGCCATTTCACACATAATCCGTTCCTGTTTCTGTTTGGAATAATCAAATCTCAGCTGTGATATACGTTTCGATATCTGTATTGGGGACACATCAATTAATGCCCCCAAATCCCTGGCCATTTTCTGTAGCGCCTCCCCCCGCTTCTCCTTGCTGCGATAATCACTATGATATTTATCATAGAAACATGGATAATTTTTCAATAATTCTATCAATTTATTTGTTGATATGTCATTCCAAAGGGCCGAAAAACGTTTACGATAAACGGTTTCCTTGATAACGGCATCGGACAGTTTTTGATTGCCACCATACATACGATTTAGAAAAAATAATTCCTTAAAATACCACAAAGTACTGACATTTGTTCTTTCCAATGCCATACGATTACATTCACGTTTGTAGACGGTCCGTAAATTATCCCATTTACGTGTTACAGCATCCTTGGCTAAGACTAAATTAAAACGTCTCTGAAATTCGGCATTTATCCATTCAAGGAATTGGCTACGTTTAACACGATCACGAAATTGTGGATGATGATGATCCCAGAGGAAGGTATTTCGGCGGTAGGCTTCAATAAGAAATTGTATCATTCGACGATCTTTTATGTGATTTGTAACACCTGGACCAGCAGAACTCTAGAGGGATGGAAGGGGAAACTAATTTAATTATTTTGAACAATATACAAACATGTTATTTATGGAAGCTTAAGTTTTGTAAATACATATATTTTTGAATGGTTATCAGAGTGTTTTTTTTAAGAATATTTTTGTGAGGATCCATCAGACATCTATGGGTGGATTTTTTAAGAATATTCTTTCAATGACTATGAGTAGTTTTAAAAATATGTTTTTAAGAAATACTCGCGGGGTGTTTTAACATTTTTTGCGGGACTAGGAATATTTTTGACGACTTATCAGACCTCTATATGTGAATTTTTAATAATATTTTTTGAAGGATTGTCAGCGTGGTTTATGAATATTTTTGAAAGACTACCACCGTGTTTATTTAAGAATATTTTTCGAAGGACTATCAGCGTTTTTAGTAATAATGTATTGAATTAATATATCTTCAAGCGTAGGTTTTTAAGGATATATATTGAAGGATTATCAGACCTTTAGAGCGTGGAGTTTTTAACAAAATTTTTTGAAGAAATGTCAATAAATATAAATAATTTTTTTAACAACTACCACTCCTCTATGAGTAGATTTTTTAAGAATATTTTGCGATGGAATATGGGATATCTAAATGTAAATATTTTTAAAACATTTTTTGAAGGGCCAAGCTTAAGTTTTAGAAAAATTTTTGAAGGATTATCAATACCAGTAAATTTTTAAAGATATTGTCTTGTAGGATTATAGGTCACACCAATTGGAAGTTTTAAGTATATTTTTTAACGACTATCAGAAGCTAAAGAGCGAAATAACACATATTTAGGAATTATCCGTTCAGTAAGCTGGATTGTTTAAGAACATTTTTCAAAGTTTTTTTTAAAAGATTTTTTAAAGGAATATATAAATAAATAATAATAAATATGAAATATATAAATAAATAAAATAAAGGAATATTAAATCCTATCGATTCTACCCTAAAAACTACACACACTTACATCTAATAAGGATTCTTCCACCATGTCATCATAATTTGCATCATCGCCGGCTTCATCGTCCTCTTCATAATCCTCGTTGTAACTAGCAAATGAATCACCCAAATAACTTGTATCGGCCATATAACTTGATGAATCTCCTGCAGCGCCAATGCTAAGATCCGGATCATGTTCTTCCTTTTTAACGCCTCTATAAAAGCCATCTGCATAGTCACTGTCATTATTCATCAATGGCTCATTTCTGATATGCGCCCCCTGTAAAATATTACGTGCAATAAATAAACAATACAAGCCAACAACAATAACACAAAAAAAAGAATACGTACATCTGCAACATTACTATCATCCATATCATATTTTTCTTCTTTGATCATGACCACCGGAGCTTCCAGTATTGGTGGTTGGGTATCTGTTAAGTCTTCATTCGTCTCATCTTCATCATGGCGACGTTTTCGTGCCCTACTACCTTCATCGTTACATCCTGAGCCATGTTTTGTTTGAATATGTTCTATGAAGGCATCAAAGTAGAGAAATTTTTCCGCACATGATGTACATTCGAGGGCAAAGTATTGTTGGTCTTCAGTGGATGTGACTATTCCACAATGATTGGTGCAACGGCGAAATATTTCCTCATCATTTGTGGGTGGATATGCGAGTACACTCATAATTTACGGAAATACTTTGTGGAGTTTTTAAGTAAAGTGTTAATAATTGGAAAACCTCTTAATATAGGAATTATAGAGATTTTCCAGTGTACATATATAGAATTGTTGCAATTTATGTGTTTTTTCTTTAATTGCCGTGTTTTATTGTATTTCCTTGTATTGATTCTTTTGACTTCTTTTTTACGCTTTGTATTGTTTCTTTTTAGAAGCCGTGACATTATATTTGACGGCGGCGGCGTAATTTGTTTGGTAAAGACGTATGAAAAGATTTTTGCCGGCGGCGTTGTTTGGGTTTATTTGTTTGCTAATGTTACATTTACACTGAACTTTTCTCATGGAAATTTACATTCATTTGATAATTATTCAGAAAAGAAATATTATTTTAAAATATATGTGGTATTAAGGCATTTTAAGAATTAAAACTATTTCTTTAGGTGTACTTTCTGGAAATCGATGTGACATTTTATTAAATTTAAAAGAATTTTGATTGAACATTTTAACATTAAAGTATGTGTAAATGTCATCAGAGCCAAATAATATTGTTACGTTCTTGGATTTTGCTAAATCCCGTGTAGACGTTGTTTTATTTCCCGATACAATTCGTACCAAATAAAACGCGGGTTCTTTCAGATTACGATTATTACAATGACTTTATTCACACAACTTTACTTTGCACTTTACTTTACACGACGGTTTCAATTCGCGATCTGATTCACAACTGACTCACTGCCTTTCCATTCCCTCTATTTATATGAGCCCTGCCTGTCGCTACAGAAGTTTCTAGACGATCTGGTAACACCTAGATCACGAACAATCTACCAATGCAACAAACACATTGAGTAACAATAACAACAACAAACTTACTGAGTGAACAATAACAACAACAAACTTGAGTAAACAAACTTACAATAACAACAACACATATACAGGCGAGAGAGTAACAAAGAAAGATGAATTAAGCGATCATCAATGATGACGTTTAATAAGAATTATACGACAATAACAAAATAGAAAATGAAAGAGGAAATGGAAGGATGTAGAAAAATCTATACAGTAGTTGTTGTTGTGAAGTTATTCAAAAAAACTGAGTAGTAGAAATCTACGTTACAATTCAAATTCTTAAATTAACGGAATTAATCTAAATTAACTTAAATCTAAAGTTATATTCGTAACATTGCCCCCCGCTTAAGCCTGTTCGTCCCGAATAGGCACAGTTCCCGTTCCGTAGGGGGTCAGCCGCTCCAAATGTACAACTTTCATCTTCGACCTGGGACTGTCGCTCCTCTGGATGCGATAAACGACGTCATTTATTTTCGTGACAATCTTGTAGGGTCCTTCCCAGTGCGTTTGCAATTTGGGGCATAGTCCTTTCTTTCGTTGTGGGTTGAACAATAGTACCAGTTGCCCTTCTTGAAACCCATCGGTATTTGCCGCTCGATCGTACCTTGCCTTCATGCGGTTGCTAACCATTTTTATTCGATGTCGGACTGCATCGTGGACTTTACTAAAAGAGTTTTGGCTGTCTTCATCTTGGTTCACATCGTCATTTGGGGTAGCGCCGAATATCAAATCGCCAGGTAGCTTTAATTCATTTCCGAACAGAACTTTGGCTGGGGTCCGGGATGTGGAATCATGAATGGCCGATCTATAAGCCAATAAAAACTTTGGAATATGCTCATCCCAGTCTCGTTGGCCACTGTCCACCACTTTCCGTAGATGTTCTTCAAGGGTGCGATTGAATCTTTCCACCATGCCATCTGATTGTGGATGTAGGGGCGTCGTTCTGGTTTTCTTAATTCCGTAGGAGTCACACATTTCCTTGAAGATCGCTGATTCAAAATTCCTACCTTGATCGGAATGAACCTCAGATGGAACACCATAGCGACAAATCCAATTTTTGCTGAACACATCCACAATTGTCCTGGCTTCTTGATTTGGGATAGCATAAACCTCTGGCCATTTACTGAAGTAATCCATGACCACTAAGACATACCGGTTCCCAGAGTCGCTTGTGGGGAACGGTCCAGCTACATCCATTGCGATTCTTTCAAAAGGGGCTCCTGAATTATACTGCTGCATGTAGCCTCGACTCTTCCGTGTTGGACCTTTAGCTTTTACGCACCTTTCACAATTGGCGATCCAGTCGGCAATGGATTTTTGACAGCCGACCCAGTAGAATCTCTGCTTTACCTTTTCAGCGGTCTTTGCTATGCCAAGATGTCCTCCACTTGGCCCATCGTGAAACTCCGACAAGACATCTCTTATTTTGGAGTCTGGGACAACGATCAAGTTCCGGTGAGATTTACCGTCCTCACTTTCCCATTTGCGATATAAACAACCATCTATTATAAGTAGACTGTCCCACTGGGCCCAATAGGATTTTAAAAGAGGGCTTTCGGAGGTAATTTCTTTGCGACTAGGTCGCTTGCCCGTTTCTATGGCCGAAATTACTTTGCCCAGAATGGGATCTCTTCGTTGTTCCGTCGACCAATCTTCTCCCGACTCAAACTGCAATCGTCGGACATCCACGATATTCTCTTTGCACTCAGCCTTTGAGCAGTGGCTGTATTCTACCTTGCATGGCCGACGAGACAGGGCATCAGCATTACCGTGTTTTCCGCCTTTTCTGTGCTCGATTCTGTTTAACGGTGACTCATTGGTGGACTGTTGAGCCATTCTTCTACCATCTTTCGTTGGAGGTGGTGACGATGACCTGGATCGGTTGCGCTTAGCTCTGCATTCGCGCGCAATATGACCTGCTTTATCGCAGTTGTAGCATCTAACCCTGTGCTTAGTCATCCCTACAAACTTTGTTTCTTCTATTACCCGTCTCATGGCGTCCTTGATCAAGTTAACGAGATATTTGTGTTCGCAACATTCGGTCTCCAGTTGGCTAATCTTGTGGGTCTGGGGCTTAACAATTATTCTGGCCGTCTCTTGGGCAAGGGCGAACGACACAGTTTCGGCAAACGACGCTTTTGGTGACGCATATACTGCACATTTAATCTCAGGGTCACGTATGCCATTCACAAAGGTTTCGATTTTCATACGGTCCACCAATGGGTGATTCTCTCCTGGATACGCCATTAGCACCAAACGTTCCACCTCAGCTGCAAAGTCTTGCAACGTCTCGTTTGCCCTCTGCACTCTTCCCCTTAATTCCATAAGGTAGATGTTTTGTTTATGTTCGCCACCGTACTTACGTTCCAGTGCAGCAATAACATCTTCATAGTTGTTTCTAGAAGCGACAGGAATACTCTGTATAACATCAGCAGCACTGCCCTTCAATGCCAGAAGTAGTGCAACCGCTTTGTCGCTGTCGTTCCACGAATTTCTAGAAGCCACTGTCTCGAACTGTAACTTGAAAACATTGAATGACGTAGAGCCGTCGAATACAGGAGGTTTGATTTTTAGTGTGTTATCAGGAACTCGCACCGGACCACCCTTAATTTCCAGTTCTGATATTTTCTTCTCCAGATTCGTAACCCTGTGGTCGTGGACCAGAAATTTCTCATCCACAGACAGAATCTTCTCGTCAACCGACTGCACTTTCTTATCCAACTCTTTTATTTGGACCTCCACGGTTTCCACTCTCCTTCCAATAACTTCTGTAATGTTCTCGAGTTTATCCATCATTCTTCTCGAATTTTCCTCGCTCCTTCTGTAATTTTCCTCAAACATTTTAGCCAGCATTTCTCTTAAATCGTCACCCCTGGCAGCTACTGACGAGGCTTCCCCACCGTTGGATTCGCTAATTTCCGATAAATCCACTTCATCCTTACTGTCAAACTCATATGTATCGATGTTCATACCACGGCGCCCGAACTCATCCAACAGACGTTTTTGTAGCTCAGCCTTGTTGCCAGTAGAGGACAATTCCAATTTATTGAGCTCCTTCTTCAAGTCTTCCACTCGTAGATCCTTGAACTTCATCGTAGTATTATCGTAATCTCACTTCCGACACCAATTGTTACGTTCTTGGATTTTGCTAAATCCCGTGTAGACGTTGTTTTATTTCCCGATACAATTCGTACCAAATAAAACGCGGGTTCTTTCAGATTACGATTATTACAATGACTTTATTCACACAACTTTACTTTGCACTTTACTTTACACGACGGTTTCAATTCGCGATCTGATTCACAACTGACTCACTGCCTTTCCATTCCCTCTATTTATATGAGCCCTGCCTGTCGCTACAGAAGTTTCTAGACGATCTGGTAACACCTAGATCACGAACAATCTACCAATGCAACAAACACATTGAGTAACAATAACAACAACAAACTTACTGAGTGAACAATAACAACAACAAACTTGAGTAAACAAACTTACAATAACAACAACACATATACAGGCGAGAGAGTAACAAAGAAAGATGAATTAAGCGATCATCAATGATGACGTTTAATAAGAATTATACGACAATAACAAAATAGAAAATGAAAGAGGAAATGGAAGGATGTAGAAAAATCTATACAGTAGTTGTTGTTGTGAAGTTATTCAAAAAAACTGCGTAGTAGAAATCTACGTTACAATTCAAATTCTTAAATTAACGGAATTAATCTAAATTAACTTAAATCTAAAGTTATATTCGTAACAATATGTTTAGATTAAAAGCCTGCATAAAATAGGTATTTTCGTTTATTCATTAAATTGCACAAATATGTACAATTTTGTTACTGTAAATTGTACGTTCACACAAAAGTCCGATAAAAAAAGTGATTTGAGAGTGCAGATTTGACCGTTGTGTTACTGATTTTTTGAAGAATCGTACAAGAAATTTTTGACCAGTATCTATTTTTCAGCTGATTAATAATCAATCAAGAATTTGACAACTATCATGGCCCAAATATCAGATAATCCAGAAGGCGAATTTCAGGAAATATACATACATCCACATTTTCTGTCAGAAGTTGATGTCGCAAAAATATCTTTGAAAAAATTTCGATTTATTTTGCGATTATTGAACTCGCACAACAAAATTTAAACACAGCACTTATTTTATTTTAATAAATAATTGCTTTTTCAGCACATTTAATAAACATTTTGTGTATTTTAGGACAATTTTTAAACAAATTGAACATTTTATATATGCCTTTGTCAAAGCTAACTATGGTTATTTTATTGAAATAAATATATTTTAAGAAAAGATGTAGATATCAGCTAGCCTTTCTGGATGAACTAATGTATAGACCATGACGACTATTAATTTTTTGAAAAATTTAAATAGTACACAACACATTGCAAATTCAGCCAACTAAATATACTTTTTGAGTTTTTATGCCTTTTTAGGGCGAAGGATCATTCATGTAAATGTTTTTTATTAATTTCTACATGATTGATGTTGCAATGAAAAGGAAAACCAGAGAGATACTATATTCCCACCATTATGCGACGCGTTTCGCCGTTGGTTAAGCGGCTCATCAGGCATATTGGGCAATGTGGCTTACAAATGTCGTTACTAGATAAGTTGTATTTATGTCGAATATTGTTGCAACAAAACTTAATTTGAGTTTAAGAAATTGACAATATGAATAAAAATATCGTATTTCTATTAAACTTAGACAACGAATTTTTTGCAGGGTTAACCTATTTTATTTGACAGTTACGCTATAGAATTGACATATTAAACTAGTGGATTTCGTACATCTAAACTTACTTTAAAATAGAACTCTTCGTGACAGTAGTGCATTAGGGTTGTATTCGGATACACTCCGTGCTTTATAAACGTCCTGGGAATGTTTTTTCATAACATTACCTTCCTTATTTTTATTTTTTAATTACTCTGTTATTTTAATATCAAAAGAAATCCCATTCTATATTCACTATATCCTTTTGTAATAATTACATGGTAGCAATTAAATAACGCAACCAAATGATATGTTTACATACAAGTATTAATAAAACACGTTATTTAAATTGTCAACGCAATTTATGTCTTTGAAATTATTTAATAAAATAAAATATGTTTTCTCATAAATCGTGTATTTTTATGCCAATATGTTAAAAACTAAGACTTCTCATGAAAAATGTAAAGAACAATACCAATATTATATATTATGAGCATTATGTTTCGAGAGAACGATATATCAATTCATTAAAAATCAAGTGTTTTCCGCAAATAAAGAAAATTACAACAGTAATATTACAAATTGAAAAATAAAAATATACAAAACATTTTTTCTACAAATATAGTTTTACACTTGGCGATTATGTCGTCTTTTGTGTAGATATAGTCCTGCAGCTTGAGCGAATGCTGATCCACATACTTTGCATACATATTTCTTAACCGCACTATGTATTTGTTTGTGATTTTGTAGATTTTTCGAAGTACGAAATACTTTGCCGCATATGTCGCAAATGTATTCACTTTCCTTGTAGTGAGTTTTTGTGTGTACCATAACATTGGAACGTGATGTAAACTCTCGATTGCAACCAGGATAATAACATCTGTGTTTCGCCGACGAATTAGAAGAGTCATCTGCCGACGAAGAAAAATACGATGTGTTATCACCGGTTATAACTTCGTCATTGCTGTCGCCTGGGGTAATCAGATTTAAATCAGGTAACAATAGTTCATCATTATGTCTTCGTGTGTGTTCCTCGTAGTTATTTTTGTCACGAAAACTAGCTGTGCACAGGTCGCATTGATACACGACATCTCTGAATTGTGGATGGATTTGTTTGTGACGATTTAATTGTTCCACATCCGGGAAAGACAACTGGCAAACGGGACAATTATAATTCGACGGAACATTAAAATCATCCATGCTGTTCGAGTGTTGATCCATGGCGCTGCTAATGGGCAAATTTGAATACTGTTCATTTTGTTGCTTATGAGATAGTTGATGAACTTCCAGTTCTGGTATTGATTTCAAAACCATAATACATTGATCACACTTAAACGGTGCAATGTCATCATCCATAAATAGCATTTGATCGTAATAGCTATAGCTGGGTGTAAACATATTTCCGGTAATTTCACATCTAATTCTCTCCTGTTTTTGTTTTCCATAATCATATCTCAACTGTGCAATACGTTTTGATATCTGTAATGGGGAGACTTCAACATTTGGTCCAAGTTCTGCAGTCATTTGCTGTAATGCCTCAGCTTTCTTCTCTTTATGACCATAATCGGGACTGTTGCGATCATACATACAAGGATACTTTTTAATAAGTTCAATCATTTTATTTGTGGATACATCGTTCCATATGGCAAACAAACGTTTTCGTTGAGCTGCTCCCTGATAAACCGTTTCCATATTTTCTTGTTTGCCCCCGTACAGATGATTTAGAAAATACAATTCTTTGAAATACCACAATGTACTGATGTTCGTATTCTCCATAGCCATGCGAATGCATTCACGTTTGTAGACCGTACGTAAATTTTCCCATTTACGTGTTACCGCATCACGGGCCAGTGTTAAATTAAAACGTCTCTTAAATTCATCGTTCATCCATTTGACAAATTGATTGCGTTTAATGCGATCACGAAATTGTGGATGATCTGGATCCCAGAGGAATGAGTTGCGTTTAAAGGCCTCAATAAGAAATATAATCATTTTACGATCTTTTATGTGATTGGTAATACCGGGTATTGATGAACTCTGGAAAAAAGAAGAAAACAAAAATCAGAAACAGAAGACTATAAGAAGTATGATACATATAAATATATTTTTAGCTTCTGACATAACTTTCACGAAAGAAGCGTCTACTTTCTCGTCATACGACGGAATTCTTACTTACTCCATATTGAAATAACAATGACAGAAATAATATCTTAATTGTCCACGAGGTTGTTAAACACTCTATTGAGCCCACACTCCCACTGCTTGATATCACAGTCTCCACAAACAATGTAATGACAAATACTGTTGTTGGAATAGTTTTTTGTCTCAGAAAAAGTATGTATACGCCTATTAGTTGAAAAAATGCCTCTGGGTGGTATCTAACTATGGTTAATATTCCAGACAAATCCCAATTTTCGAAAATAGCAATTCTTATAGGTATATTCTAAAAGGCAAAAGTATTGCTTTTTAAAAAATTATGCTTGAACATATTGCCCTATAAAATTGATACAACATATTTCCATTAATTTTTTACTAATTTTAATTTTGTTATTGCTATTTTTATTAAATATGTACAACTAATTTCAAGTCAAAACAAAAAAATTGAATACAACAAAATGTATTAAAAGAAATAAATTTAGCACTTAATTTGTTTCTGTTGCTAAATCATTATCGCCTTCAACCTTTCTTTTCTTTCCTTTATTCAATCTATCTTTGGCTGAATTGAAAAATTTCCGTATATGCATCTCCACCTCTGAATATGTTGTCTGTGGTATACATTCTACAGCTACATCTGTTCAACGATTTCATATTAATTATACAGTAGTAATAGTTTAAAAAAAAAACTATACCTTTTAGAATTTGTATCAAAGTGAAATCTTTAACCGAAATATTGGTATGAATACCTGACCATGAGAATTTTGAAGCACGACTGTCATCAGAAAATATCAATCTAAGATTTTTGTTTACAAATTTCCTAACATCAACTTGAGGTTCTCTTTCAAAGCGTGATATCTGCAATTTGAAAAGTTTATTTCCAGAATTAGCATTTGATTTTATTTCTAAATCCCTCAATTTTACATACCAAATTATTTTTCTTAGTTTCATCTGCTTTTATCTCCTTGTCAAAGTTTAAAATATCCTCAACAGATCTTAAATCTAAAGTTAGTATATTTGAATTTAAATTTGGTATAGTTTTAATTTCTGTCACAGATTGTTTGAGGGTATTTTTTAAATTTATAAACTCCTTCGTAACGTGAGTTAATAATTTGTGATTTCTGTCTTCATTTTGTGCAATGATTTTCTTATTTTGTTGTACAATAGTGATCAATAATTTTTGAATATCTATTAGGATAAATGAAAATTTAACACAAGACATTTATTGTTTGGGATATTCATTATGTTCGTTATTGAAAATAATTTCACATGAAATACTTACTAATCATGGTAAAGTTTTCGGCACTAATATCAATCTCTTGTGGAACAGGAGTTACTATTAAGAAAGTAATAAAAATTACATATATTTGCAATTCTATATTTAACTAACATGTTTACCTTTAGAATCTAATTGTTCTTTTAATTTCTGCTGTTAAAAAATCAAGCACACAAAAAAAGAAACAAATTATTAAGACGATAATTCAGAATTCCTGAACAGGTCGATCAAATCTATCATATCTCAATTAGTATTTAGAAAATAAACTTTCTTATCTTCGTCCAAATAATATATACCCTCAAAGTAAATTCATTAAGATTTCAAGGATAGGGAGAAGTATCCGCATAAAATTATAGCTGTGTAGGTAAAACATGTATTACTACTGTTATACTGGACAGTTTAATATATAAATACATTACAAAAGTCCATCATTAAAATTCAAATTTCAGTATTTTGATTGTTTACGCAGCATTTCATACTTACATTTAATAAAGACTCTTCAACCATATCATCATAGTTTGCATCATCATCACCACCACCCGGTTCATCATCATCATCTTCATAATCATCATTATAACTAGCATTGGATTCACCGGCATAACTGGTGTCTGCCATGTAACCAGCACTCCCAGATGTCATGTTAAAATTTGTATCATTTTGTCCCGCCTTGAATCCACCATCGTAATATCCATCAGCAGGGTAATCATTGTTCTGCAATGGTTCATTTTTAATACATGTCTCCTGTAAAAGGTAACAAAAAAAGAAACAAATCTTCAACAACCTCTTTCAAACCAAACCAATAAGTAAATTATACATACATTATCATCTCGATTATTATCATCCATATCGTATTTTTCTTCTTTAATAACGACCGATGAAGATTCATGCACTGGTGGCTGAATATTAGACACAAATTTATTAGGCTCATCACCACAATCTTCATGACGACGTTTTCCCGGCCTAATTTCATTTTCACTTGGCAAGAAAGCATGTTTCCTTTTAATATGATCTACGAATGCATTCAAGTATAGAAATTTATCTTGGCATAGCAAACATTCCAATGCGAAATATATCTGATCTTCAGTGGATAAAACCATTCCACATTGTCTGGTACAACGACGAAATATTTCTTCGTTATTGTTTGTCGGAGGATATGCTACTATACTCATTTTTTTAGTTGTTATTAATACTGCACAAAATGCTTAGATTGTTTATTTACATATACATGGGTAAATGGGGACGTATAAAATTTGTTTCTGTCCAAAATATCAGCTTTATTTGTTGTATTTGATTTCTTTATGGAAAAAAATTATGATTTTTGTTATTTCCTCAGAATGATGCTCCAGATCACAGTGCCGACTATTGTGGATGGCGATGAAGCATTTTGACAAAGTCATATGACGGCGTTGGTTTTTCTTTTGTCGCAAACACAAACATTGTTTACTAATGTCATGTTTATATAAAGGTCATGTTTTATAAAGGTAAGCACATCAGCCGAGCTCTTGGCACAAATAAACGTCAAAATTATTGTTGTAATCAGTTGTAATTTAAAACAAAAATATTTTAAGAGTATTTTGAAGAGATTGTTTGGCATTACATTTGTAAACTTTTTCTAAAATAATTTGTGTAAAAAAATTTCATGACTCGTTTTGTTTTTGCAAAATATTTGACATATCATTGTACTGCAACTGTTGTTTGTTATGAGTATACCATGATATAAATCATGTCTTTGGATGCATGTTGTTGTTTAACGAGTACCCGAGATATACACAGGCCACGGTTGGTTATATTCTTTGCCATGGTATAATAATAGAAGGTAAGAGCAAGTGTTGTTGTACAACAAACGACACAACCACATGAAAATTTGTTATTGTAAGGTATACTAGTGTCAACGTCATTTGACAGAAAAATGTAAACAAACAAACACATTATATTTATTTTGAAAATGTAATCTTTTCGAATCCTCAAAATAAAATTTGAAAAACATGAATAAAAATCTATCAAATTTATATTTCTATCGCTTCCACATCTTTCCTATAATTGAGCCATTGCCATATATATGTGTAACACATATGAAAATGCAGGCAATTGCGAGTTATTCCATTAAGAACGATTTGTTTTCTCAAACTTTCCCAGCAGGCAGATTGAGTAAATTGAATAGCACATTTAATAAAGAACAAATTGTATGCGTTCCCAATTTTCCAGTTTGTCAAATTCATATTGACACTAGTATTAGGTTGGAATCAAATCAGCTGGGATTTGCTGTTACCTTTTATAATTGTACCATGTTAAATTAAAAACGGTTTTCGTACGTGGAACATGTCTGTATTCGAACGCTTTTTACTTTTGTTTCAAATGTAAACTGTGATATCACTCCCCTTTGCTTTGTTGTTTACATTGGATAAGAAGAATATGTAAACATAAACAACTGTTTTACCCCGGTTGCAGGCATCCTCGGAAAGAATTTATTAAAAATATATTAAAAATTTATATATGTGTGATGTTATGTAATGTAATTATGTTCGCCTACTGAACAACTGGCAAAAATTTCCAATTTCACACGTAGTTTATTACTTATTATACTATTTAATTAAATCCTTTTAGTTAAACCCAGTACGATGTAAACGTACGTAAATTCTCTTATTTTATAGTCAATAGAACAATGTGTTATCATGTTATAGTGAATAACAAAACGAAGTGTCATTCAATGAACTAGTTCGTTCCGGAACTACGAACAGCTGATGAAAACTGTTCAAATTGTGATCAGCTGTTGGTTGGTCCTCCTTTCGTTTGTGTTGACCTCATTCGTAAACTGAGTCCTCGTCTCGTTTGCTTTCAACTTCATTCGCCAGGTTGGTCCTCGGCTCGTTTGCTTTCATCTCAGGTTTACAGGGTTGTAATTAGCTACCCTTGCTGGCTGGACAAAGCTGAACACAAAGGACCAGTTTTCTCCGATTGACTCCTCAATGAAATTGCACTCTCCATGTTCACCGGTTGCAGGCATTCTCGGGAAGAATTTACGCCGGCTGCAGATTTGTAAATTCCATCAAACATCGTGATGCACGCTCAAAAAATAATTGTCATACATCCGGGATCTTTAAATTTACGTATTGGACGTGCTAGTGATCTCAATCCCATAACTATTCTACATGCAATTGGAAGACGTCGTAAAGTGGAACAAAAACATGACACAAACCTGGTGTATCATGATCCATTGTTACCAAGTATCGTTGCGGATAAGGAAAATGAAATTATGCAGGAATTTGAAGAGAGCCGATTACAAGTTTCCCACTCCATACAAACTCATGTGACACAATATGAAGAACGTGGTGGAGGTGCAAAACGAATGCGAGTCGCTACGCCGCCGCAACAAATTGCAACATTTAATCGACGATCAGTGCCGGAAGAACTGCCCTTAGAACCTGCAATGAAAACTGAGATAACGGATATTCAAGTTGAGGGAAAGGAAGTGGAATTAAATAAAATCAAGGAGAACATTTTCGATGAAGATATCATAAAATTGAATACAGATCAGGCATGCGATTACAACATCCACTTTCCAATGAAAAGAGGAGATTTAAATTTACACAATAACATTGGTGGTTCGATGACAGCTGTAATATCCGATTTAGAATCAATATGGTCTCACGTTATTGTGGAACGTATGTCTATACCACGACGTACGTTGGGACAATATGGTGCTGTTTTGGTTATAAACGATATTTACAATCGCAGTGTTCTACGTGAATTGGTGACACTGCTGTTGCAACGTTTAGGATTTCGTGCGTGTTTTCTAGTCCAGGATCATGTAGCTGCCACATTTGGAGCTGGTTTGGGTTATGCCTGTGTTGTGGATGTAGGCGATCAAAAATGTTCAATATCATGTGTTGAAGATGGCATATCACACCCTGATACCCGTGTCCGTTTGGGTTATGGCAGTGGAGATCTCTCACAAGTTTTCCTTGCATTGCTAAGGAAATGCAGTTTTCCCTATAAGGAATGTAATGTGGAGGAGTGTTATGCCGATGCTATACTCATCAATAATCTAAAAGAACTCTATTGTCACTTGAATTTGGAAATATGTGGAGCACAAGAAAAAGTCTTTGAAGTAAAAAAGCCAGATAAACGCCTGCGTTACACCTTCCAATTGGGTGATGAATGTGTTGTTGCTCCATTGGCATTCTTCCATACGGAATTATTTAATTTAACGGGCAAAAATAAGGTGGTACAGTTGCAAATGCGTAGTAGCCAACAATCGGACCCAGAAGATTGTTTTGATGCTGAATATATTCGAGAAACCGGTCGTGTACGCAATGGCAGAGGAGATCAATTGCTTGATGGAGCTATGCCCATAACGGGTGATGCTCCCGATGAAGAACTTGTTGTGGTCGACAATTTTGATGTTGATGAACGTTCGGCCAATGTACGTAACATGGATAAAGAGGAACAACTTTATTACACATCTGGTAATGGCCAAATTATACCCATTGACTTGGCTATTGTACGTAGCATTGAACGTTGTATATCCGACGATATGAAACGGAAAATGTATGGAAGTATTCTATTGGTGGGTGGTGGTAGTAAATTAAGTGGATTCGCAAAATGGTTAGAACAAAAAATCATCCTGCATGTACGTTCGGCTGAACAATATTCATATGAGGTGAATGTATGTGTCAAGGAAATGGATGCATCGATGATTGCATGGAAGGGTGCTGCTATAATGTCGTGCTTAGAAAGTGCGCCCGAGTTATGGTTGTTTGCTGACGAATGGAAAAAGTTTGGTTTACGAATACTACGTGAAAAAAGTATATTTATGTGGTAATTTTGAAATGTTCGATTTGGATTAGGTATGACAAAAAATACTGCCATTGTTTTTAACAATTTAATATACATATGTAATATATTTTATTATTTTGTAAGAATAGAATTTAAGAAGTTAATTTATAAGATAGTATTTTTGAAAAATAAAACAATTGATAAAGAAGGAAACCACTTTGAGTTTTAAGAAGAAAGAATGTCCAAAATGTGATCTATCAAAAAATCTATTGACAAAATTATGTTTACATTCTAATAAAAAGGGTCTTTAATTCTCCTATAAGAGCTTTATTATCGTCTTCTATTGAGAGACTTTTAGAGCGCACCAAACATTGAATTTTTCTGGATGTAATGCCGTATCTTCAATTACTTGACGATTCTCAGAACCCCAAACATCACAATTATATTTATTAACATACTCATCTACATCGCTGTAGAAAATTTATATTTACGACATTGTGAAGCTATGAGCAGCATTGGTGACGTAATAATTGGATTTGACAACAATCCAAGAGGCGAGTCCATATTTGATTTTATACTTAGTTATATTATTTAGAATATATAATCATATAATATGTAATAGGGGCAATATAGCAACGTTCGTAAATAGAGTGAGAGGTGAAGTCATTGACATAACTCCCACTAATATGGACGATTCTAGGGTTACGAACTGGAAAGTATCTGACAAATGCTCCCTCTCGGACCTCCAGAGGAAAACAGAAACCTCATAGGAATCCTCGGAAGACAAATTCAAAGCTAAAACTGCATCCTTTATCCTAGGTCACAACGATCTCAGAACGATTGAGGATGTTGAGAAAGCTGTGAACAATGTAACAGAGACTCTTCTGAGGAGCTATACCCCGGTATGGTGGTCACGAAACCTGCATCCTTGAGAAAGGCTGCTAGGAAAGCATATAATAAAGCTAGTAGTAGTAGAACGAAACTTAGTACAGATTGCCAGATTTCGCAGAATAATATATAAAGATTCAAAATCTATAGTTAGTATTAAGCGAAGCGACGTGGAAATACCCAGGCCCAGATGGTATAATACCGCTCATGCTGTAACACGCCAATGAGCGAGTGTTGGTCACTCTGCAGGGAATATTTAGGGTTTGACTGCTTTTATCGTATATACCAAGTCTATGGAAAGAGGGTAATATGGGCTATAGAACAATTACCCCCTCTTCCTTTCAACTTAAGACTTTAGAAAGGTTACTAGACTCTGAAATTAGAAATACTATCAACCCCTATAAAATTAGCAAATCACAGCATGCCTACATCAGAGGCAAATCAGTTGATACTGCTTTACATGAGGTGGTTGGACGTATCCAGAAGAATATCGAGACTTCCTATTACACATTGGCTGCATTTCTTGACATTGAAGAAGCCTTCAACAATGTGTTCTGCTCTCGATAGTTCAGATATCCCCTCCCTCCTAACGGATGGAATTGATAGAATGATGGAAAGCAGAATTATCAATTCGTCCATTGAAGAGAGTTCCGTGAGGAAATCTGTCAACAGAGGCACACCACAAGGAGCAGAATTATCTTCTCTACTATGGATTCTGGTGATAAATGAAATACTGCTGAAATTCGATCACCTAAAGATAAAGGTTGTAGCCTATGCTGATGATGTATGTAGTCTTGCTAGTTGGTGGGAAGTTTCTGCCGATTATTTCTGATATCATGCAGAGTGCCCTTCGGTTGTCGGATCTCCATTGTGAGCAGTCATCGGCGTACGACACCAGTGAAACATCTGGTGGAGGAATAGGGAGTTTTGCAAGATGCATGTTGAACAAAATGGGAGATAAGACACCGCATTGCGATACTCCCATTTTGATATTGCAATATTTGGATTTTTGGCCACGGAACTAAACGAAGGCTGGATTTGTTTTTTGGCTCTGGAAGTACCGCACCACTATGGACCAAATAGTACTCTTTAAGTAGGCTCTGACTGTTTGGGGGATACATTCTACTCCGGAAAATATCCCATCAGCAATTTGTATACCCTTTTTCTCTCTTCTATATTCTCTGTTAGTGCGGAAGCTCCTACTAAATGACCGGCGTCTGTACATCCTATAACCTAACGTATGGGTCCTCTATAAAATACGGTATTCTATAAGAGCTCACTGGTTTTTATATTAGACTATATTAACCAGCTGATAAAATATATTTTGCTGCTAATAAAAATATTTCTTCAGCACATACTTATAAAAAAGTTTATTATTAAATATATACACAATAAATCAACAAAACAAAAACGATTTCTTTACAAAAACAAACATGGTAATAAAAAAACTTATAATCTTCTTTAACAGCTGTGATTTATTCTAAATTTTTGGGTGTGCTGGAACCCATATAAGTATACAAATCGGCCAGTGTTGAGTTGACTAATTTTGCTTTAATTGTTTCACGATTCAAACGTTTGTGGGCCTCATAACGATGACAACCACCAAAACTGTAATAATAATCACCACCCTTGGAACCCTTAATCCACAAGACATCAATGGGTGGGACGTTGGCAGCCTCACGATCGTTCTAAAATAAAAATTCAAAAGAAAAAAATTGTATATAATTTCTAAAATTGCAATTAGCTCATCACCTTACCTCTAAGGTTTGCATTAAAGATTTCACTTTATCTTCATCTAAGACCGGTGGTATTGGTCGATGAATAACTCTCATTGGTACATTGTGGACTTCTTCAATATTGGCCGAATGTACACTGCGATCAACACAAATGGCTGAGGACATTTTGGTGGAATCTAGTCTTTCTATAAATAGAATAAAACATGTTATTGCTATTAACACCTTGAAGTTGTAGAGGAGTATTGAGAAAGTTTTCATTTTTTGCCAATTTTTTTTCGCTTTCAAGTAAATAATGTTTAAAGTGTTGAGTAAATTTACGTTCGTACTTGTTGTGATCTGGACGAAAACACGTCTGCTCGCTGGCAAAACAAACTTTGTAATGAATTCCATGCCAAGACGTTGACCGATTTGCCCAAACAAAAGCTTTGTATGAACAGCCTTGTTGTGGTGCTGTAACCCCTCCACCAACCACCCTAACCGCTAGAACTTGTTTTGATTTTGCGTTGCGCTTACTTTGGATATTTTTAGTAGATGGCTGTTTTGTTGTTTATTGAAAATAAGCAGCAAAAGTAAGTCTTAAAAAGCCGGGGCATGAGGCATCTGTGGGAGGAGAAACATATACACAGTTTTTATATTTTTTCAAGTGTATAATTAAACTAAGAGAACAATATCAAAATAAAGTACTAATTATCGGTTTTATTATGATTAGCTACCAACCAATTTGATGATAACCAACTTCTATATGAATGATTTTCAATTTTTTTTTTTTTTAAATTTAGACAAAGAACAAAAGATTTCAAAGCAAGAGGTCGAAAAGAATGCACTGTTGTTTTAATCTTGTTGGTAAACAATATTATAAATAATTCATACTTATGCATGCCCACAAGCCCCTCTTGCATTTTCAATAATTAAAATTCAACACAAAACACTGCACATATAATTGTTTATTTTGCGTTTTTTAAAGACCGATAAACATTTAAATGAGTTTTTTTCTTTTTTTTTTTTTAATTTTTTGTTTTGATACAGTAAAATATTTACTTTTTTCTTTGCTATATTATTTATCAGCTGTGGTGGTATATGGTGGCATCACCCCAAAGCCACTTCAATTGAATATTTTTTTTTTTATTTAATACAAATACCTTGCCCCCATATATATAGGTGCTAGGTAAACTTTTTCTTTTTTTTTCACTTTCTCTCTCTCTCAGGTTTCTCTTTTATCTTATCAAATCCAACGACATTATTTGATAAAGATATAAAGCAACTTGTTCACAAAACTAATTACACTAATTACATATTTGACTTCTATCTCAGTCAACAGAAAACTATGCACTAAATTTTTTTAGCTTTAAACGGAAATAGTTAAAAAAGCTTTCATATTCGCATTAATGTCGTCATCGTAAGTGTTAGGCACTCATTGCAAAGGTATTTTTTATTATGCTTCAAAGTTTTAACAAAGAATACAATGACGACGTCGTGGTTGTTGGGTCCTAACCGTTTATACTTTTTGCCAAATGGAAAAACTTAAGTCTCCACAGAAAGTCGGTTAGGTATGAGAAAAGTGATAAAAAGAAAAAACATTGTTACGTTAGGCCGGGCCGATTTGCACATTCTTTTGCAATTTTTGGTCTAAACGACTTTTTGCATTACTATGAAGAGAATAAATAACATAGTCATTCAAAACTTTTATATGCCATTGTATATAAAAAATACCAAAAAAAATTGCAATAATAAAAATTTGCGAATACGATGAAAAGATCAAGTGGAAGAAAACATTGCCGAATGTGGCCTTTCAAATTGGAAAAACTGCACAAAAGACCGATGCGCCTGGAATTTTTTTTAAGCTCGGCTTATGGAACGAAAGTTCTGTCACAAGCCAGCTAAGTAAGTAATTAACAATATAACTGTGAAATATCAAGAATCAGCTTTAAAACTGCTTTGATATTAAAAGAAAATAAATTACATTTTGAATACGCAATAAACTTCAACAGATTACAAATAAAATAAAAGATTTATCACTGTTAAGCGGCTCATCAGCGAATTTAAATTTATATAAATTTATGTAATCCAAAATAACAGATTTTTCCCCAAAGAGGATTTTTTCACTTTCGAACTTGATTCAGAATAAGGTGAAAGTGAAAATGCGAAAAATACGCTGCAAGTTCTGGTTCAGAATAACTATAAAGAGAAGAGCGAACAAATTCACGGTGAATTGATGTCCATATATCTCCATTTTTGTATAACGATCCTGTCTGTTTTTCATGAATCTGAAATTTTTCTCCCACTTGTCAATATCATTCTCTAGGCAAAATATAATTCCAATTGGGTTGGGTTCGAACTTGATTCAGAATAAGGTGAAAGTTAAAATGCGAAAAATACGCTGCAAGTTCTGGTTCAGAATAACTATAAAGAGAAGAGCGAACAAATTCACGGTGAATTGATGTCCATATATCTCCATTTTTGTATAACGATCCTGTCTGTTTTTCATGAATCGGAAATTTTTCTCCCACTTGTCAATATCATTCTCTAGGCAAAATATAATTCCAATTGGGTTGGAAACTTCATTGTAAATAAATGCCATTTCCCATTACTTTTCATTGCAAAAACTTCGATCATTATGCTCGAATCGAGAAATCGAATCCAATTAAAAATCATGCAATTATCATCATGGCCCTTACAGACAAAACTCAAATGAAATGGCAATATTTAAATTACACAACACCAAAATTACTGTTAACTTTCATTTACAAACAATTATAAATGCGCTTACATTACTTCAAACCAATCACAGATAGAAAGTGATCAACAGCCATTTGAATGGCATAATCAGGAGGATCTTCGTCACTATCCGTGCTTTCGTCACCGTCATTTTTACTGCTATCATTTTCCGTATTGTTATCCTCCACTGCTGCCAGTTGTGTGCTAAAATCAGTAGTTCTACTATTACTCATATTGGTGACACTGACAACTTTTACGCCCAGTCGATTGTCACATGCCCGTAAAACTGTTTCATTATTTCCATTATGATCTGTTTTACTCGAATTTTTACTAACAATTTCAGTGACTGTTTCAACTGTCATTTCAGTGTCCTGTATGTTTTCATCATTTTCGAATATCTGCAAATTCTCGTAATTTTGTGTTAAATGCGGCATCAAACTTTTTATTGCTGGATTAGATATATCGGTAACATTCTTATTACTGGTAACATTTACTCCCTGTTGACTGCCACATGTCCGTAGAACTGTTTCATTATTTCCATTTGTTTTATTCGTATTTCGACTAACATTTTCAGTGGCCGTTTCACTTGTCATTTCAATGTCCAATATGTTTCCATTTTTTTTAGATGTTTGGATATCCTCAGAGTTTTGTGTTAAATGTGGTATCAATCCTTCCAACGCCGGATTTATAGCTGTTGATATAGAATCGTTGGATATCTCGGTACCAACACTACTACATTGTTCATCAGAAGTTTCAATAATTGGACCTTTATTGACTCTTAATGACATATCTAATTCTGGTATTTCTTCAAAATGATGTGTTTCGGACAGAGTTTTACACATAGTACGCTCTGTTACCGAGCATGTGTCACATTTAAATTCTGCCAATGGGCCATCTGCATCTGGTATACATGATGGATTGTGGGCTCCAACTAGGCCACACAGGGTACATGTTATTATTGACCATTTAGCTAAAACAGGATAAAAAATAAATTTATTTTTTCGTTTCGTTGTTAATTTCCATAAGACTTACGCGATGTGTACACACGTCCCTTTGGACAATGGCATGTGGTCATATCACAGCGTTTAGTTGATCGATGTAAATCCCGATAAGCATCCTTTTCACGTTCCCAATCGGCATCACGATCAGGCACAAATATTCCCATATATTTAATATCTTCTCGGAAGTCTTTATTCTTACACCATATACATTTCAGGTAGTAGCCCGCCTTTAAGGCATATTTTTTCAAACATAAACTATGAACATAACCATTTTTACAGCATTTAGCACTAATCCAATTTGATGGACTATATATACCCATACATTGTCTACATATATAACAGGCACTTTTGTTGTTCGGTTGAGCTTTAGAAGTCATCAGCAATTTCTGTTCATCACTGAGTGGAGCACATCCGCGACAATATGATTTGAACTCGCCCGTAAATTGCGATAAACATTTATTTGTGTGACCGCATATTAAATGAAAATATCTTTTGCAACCATGACACATTATGGTAGCATAATTAGTATTGCAATACATGCAATTACGTTGGCTGGCCGCCTTGATTTCCTTGCGTATGTCACGCAATAGAAAACCCAATATTCCGCCATGATCTTCACCATTCTGTGGCAAATTTGTAGAAAGGAGCTGCGGGTAAATTGAAAATAATTCTTATAACATTCTCATTTTATAATAACACACATACCAAGCAATAATAGTGAACTGTAATATCACTCCTTGTCATCCATTCGCCAAAAAGGATGACATCTTCACCATCTGTACCAGAGGTTTGTTTACATAGATCACACGTTTTTTCTCCTTTGTTACACATTATACATTTCAGTAATTAATAATTTTGTTATAACACAATAAAAATCCTTAGAGTCTTTGGAAAACCTCCAACTCCAGGTCTAGATTCAAATGAGCCCGCAATACAAGAAGAGGACAATGAAAATAACAGCTGTTAATTAATTTTTGGATGCCACAGTTGATGAATGCCGACGGCGATATGGTACAATAAAAAAGGTAGAGTAGAGTTAACAAGAATATATTGTAAAAAGTGAATGGATTGTGAAGATTTGTCTTTCCAAGAGTACGTTTTTCGATCTCTAATGTCAATTACATAACATATACGTCAAATACAATCCACTGGATTTGCGAACAGGATTAACGTGATGAATATGCTGTAGAATTGACGTTTGAAATCGAATGGGTTTAGTAGTCTAAAAGCGGATTTACATATAACATCTAATCATGATTAAAGACTGAATCAAGGTTTATTTTCTTAATCAAGCTGAATTTACCATGATTTATCATACAAATTTAAATTTTCGTGTGGCAGGGTTTTTTTTAAATAATGATCGAAATCATGATACCACTAGGAGCAACGCGGTTTTTGTACGAATAAATACAACTCTCTCACAATGTACCAAAATTTGTCAAATAATGGAAATGGAAGATCAAAGGAAAATAGAAATTATTTACAGAATTTTTGTGTTTTTAGTTTTTTTTTACTTTCCAAACGATCAAAGCATTGCAAAACTGTTGTAATCTTCTTTTCATTTTCAAATTGCAAACAAAAATTTTTGGCGCAAATTAATAATTTTTTATGTATAGGTGTGTCTGGTTACATTTCCAGTAACATCTATTCAGTAAGTTATAGTTCAAAGAGTAAGCGTTTTTACTCTCTTTTGCGATAATACTGAGAAAAGTAAACAGACAACATTTAGTAACATTCGGTAACAATTGTTACCAAATATCGAGTCAACAGACAGATCTTATATTAACAAACATCAGCTGATCGGCATTGAGGTCATGATTAAAGGTATGTGTAAACAATTAGGGTGTATTTTTGAATTTCGTTAATCAAGTCGATTTAAAATCGTATATGTAAATATACTTTAAACGCGCTCTTATCTTGACAAGGTATCATGGTATAATAATAGAAGATGACAGCAAGTGTTGTTGTATAACAAACGATACAACAACAACATGGAAATTTTTTGTTGTAAGTTATACTAGTGTCAACGTCATTTGAATGAAAAATGTAAACAAACAAATTATAAAAAATTTTATTTATTTTGAATCCTCAAAATAAAATTGAAAAACATGAATGAAAATCTATCTAATTTATATTACTATCGCTTCCATATATTTCCTATAATTGAGCCATTACCACTTATATGCGTAACACAAATGAAAATGCTGGGAATTGTGACTTATTCCATGATGAAAGATTTGCTTCCTCAAACTTTCTCAGCTGGCAGATTGAGTAAAATGAATAAGGGGGGACATTCAATACAGAACAATTTCGAATTGTATGCGTTCCCAATTTTCCTGTTGGGTTATTTTTAAAAACATAATTTGTCAAATTCATATTGACGAAGTATCATGGCACAATTATAAAAGGTAACAGCAAAACTCAAATCGTTGTAGTAAACATTTTTCTGAGAAGAGGCCCTAAATGAAAATTAGTTTCAAAATAAATATTAATTTGATATGATGCATTTTTGTAATAAAAATTATAAAATTATTATGATTTTACAATTAAAATGCCTATTATGACGTTATAAGTTATTCGAGTTAAGAGTGAAACACACGAGAATTCAGAAATGGCTTTTTAAGTTGGCTTTGTATGAAAAGTCAATTTATAAAGGAATATTAGAGCCAAACTTGATTTTAGACACTGATTTCCTTTATCTTCTCTTAACACGCCAATCCTGAAGTCCTCTTATGTGTTTCTCCCTTTAGTGTCTAAACGTGTCTATAAAACAAATATTTCTTAATTCATTTTTTTTGTCTGTTTTATGAATCACCCAGTTATCGCCACAATTCTTTACATACATTCTGTCATTCTATTATTTTTCTATGATTTTGGTATTTTGTTTTGATTATTTTATTCGTCAGTGTTAGACTTTGAAGCCACTCTGATATTATCAGTGGCGGCGTTTAAAATATTTTTTTATTATTGTTTTATTTTTTTGTACGAAGACACTCAAAACGAAAACGAGTTAGTCAGTTAGTCAACATCATTGTGTCAGACTGACGATAGTAGTGAATTAATTGAAAAAATAGCGCAATCCATCTAGTAGAGTGTAGTATATTAAACCAAAGGAAACCAACAACAACAAACGTAAAACGACGACGAATACGAACAAGTGACAACAACAAAAAGGCTGCTACCATATTTGAACATATTTTCGACAAGTAGACGAAACGAACAAATCTGCTACTAAAAGTTAATTAAATTGAAATTGAGTTATTGAGAAAATATTTTGAACTTTGTGAACTTGAACATTGTTGTTGTTCAAATGAGTTCAAGCCAACAGAGAGATTGCTGCGCAACATCTGTTGCTGCTCCACAAACGACGAATGGTGGAGATGGCAGCACAAACATATTGTCCACCCAATTGGCGACATATCGTGTTTTTGTGGTCACCTGGAATGTTGGTTCTCGTTTTCCAGACAACATATCATTACGCAATTTGCTGGGCATCAGCAACTTGGTGGAGGATCATCATTTACCCGACATCTATGCAATCGGTTTGCAGGAGGTCAATGTGCAACCACAACAACAAGTATTGGGCTTGTTCAAAGAAGACCCCTGGACAGACAAGGTCAAGAGTTTGTTAAAGGATTTCAATTATGTCCTCATTAAGACGGAACAAATGCAAGGGCTGCTGGTAAGTTTGTTCGTGCGGCGACAGCATGTACCACATCTACGTGATATTGAGCCGGAATTTACACGAACTGGGTTTGGTGGCATTTGGGGTAATAAAGGTGCCGTTTCGGTACGCTTCAATCTGTATGGCTGTGCTCTATGTTTTGTGGTATGCCATTTGGCAGCTCATGACCACCACTTGGACGAACGCATTGAGGATTTCAAACAAATCATGGATAATCATCACTATCACGTTCCACGCTATAGGGAAATCTATGATCATGATTATGTTTTCCTATTCGGCGATTTAAATTTCCGTCTAATGGGTGATGATTCAGCCCAAGAGATCCGTGATAGAATAATTAAGGATGACGCTGTAGAGGAGCTAATGAGTCGTGATCAGCTTTCGTATGTACGACAGCAAACACAAGAGGCATTTCAATTGTTGCAAGAACGTAAACCTGCTTTTCCACCCACTTTCAAGTTTCATGAAGGCACCTCGGAATACAATCTAAAGAGAAGACCGGCTTGGACAGATCGCATATTGTATTCGGTACAACCGAATAACAAGCAACCGAATAGTAATTTGGAAATTGAACAATGTGCCTACAAATCCATACCGGGATATTGTATCAGTGACCATAAACCGGTGACTAGTGAATTTACCATTAAACTATATCCCAATTATCGTGCCCCATGTGTAGAATTCAAAGATATTACGGTGTGGAAAATCGATGAAGAAAACACCGTGGAATATAAGAAACCATTGGACTTGCAGGAACGTGATTTTGATTGGATTGGCATATATCCCGTCAACTATGCCAGTCTTAAGGAATATGTTTCATATGAATACGTCAATAAGACAGATTCACCACCATCCACTCCGGATACAAATGATCCATTTTGGGATAACAATACCGGTGGGAGGAGGCATCGTAGACATGGCCGCAGACATCATGATCAACATCGTGAGAGAGTGAGGCGACAACAACAAGCCAATGAGGAATTGGTACGTCTTGAATTTGATGATGATGCTGATCTGAAGGATGGCGAAGAATATGTACTCATCTATTTCCATAATACCGGTTTGCGTGGTGTATCGAGTGTGGCAGGCATTAGTAATGTTTTCAAGGCTGAAAAACGACCCTCAACACCAAGATTTTCCAATGTTGACTAACAAAGGTTTTCATTTGGCTATGCTAGTGATATTTTATTGATATGATGAAATCCGCAACCCACCTCCACCACCAACTTCAATACCACCACAACCAATAACTGTTAACAAATGAAAAAAAAGAAAACCACCACCCCGATCCTACCTCGATTACCAATGTGTTGAGAAAATCCAATTAATGGAGAAAGGCATTTCTAGAATATGCAATAAACAAAAAATTGTAAGTAGAATAAATTTGAATTTAAAATTAGTTTTTTTTTTGTAAAATGAACAAAGCAATTGTCTTCGTCCGCCATTGTGACTGTGACGACGATGATTTTTCACATATTAGCACTTGTAATTAGTGACACAGTTAAAAATGTAACAAGCTAATAAACATTGATATGACATTGTACATACTTATCTAATAAATAAGTATAAATGATATTTGTAGATATGGGAAATGTGAGGTTAACTGGCCTAGGGGTAAACCCTACAACTACAAGTGGGGAAGTCGAATTTTTCCATATCACTAATACGACGTAGTATTCGATATATAACAGGGATTCTAGATAATGAAGATCTATCTAGGATGGATATTATTGTATCTGAATCTGAATTGGCATATTGTTTATTGGAGTCATAAGAAGGCATTCTGTCATTAGAATCGAACAGATGTGTTCAATCGATATCTTCTGGGTAGCTCTCTTCGTGATTTATCAAGTGCCTTGATTTTCTATATAAATAACCAAAAATTTTTATTTTTACGCCCAACAAAATCTTGAATGGTATATGACCCTCATTGATATAGGGTGCTCACAAATTAAACATACCCATTTTATAATATAAGACATACCCCGCTATTTTGTTGAACGTAAAATAAAGCAGATAACTAATATAGTGATAACGATTCGGTTGACATATTTATAATCTTGATGGTTTCTTGTATAACAGAAATATATGTTATTTCCTGTAAACATTTGATAGATTAATAAAATTTCTAACTTTAAATGATTATTTATATTTGAACGGATAATTTTAACGTGTGTTCAGAAGATTTTCTTTTTCCTGTGTCAATTTTTATTGAATATCATTGACTCAAACATTGTATATATTGCTTATGACCATTTTAAGGTGAATTTTATTTATACATTATAGTGATATGTTATATTACATTATTTTTGTTATTGTCTAAATAAATGCTATAGTAAGAAAGTTATGCTTAAACCAATATTTGCTTCATTGTACACTTCAGACTATTTCTTGTCCCTTTGTGTACATTTTACACCAGATCATTGGTCCATATTTTATTACTCTTACCTTCGCCTTTATATAAAATCGCCTAGCTGGAATGCCTGCGTCCAATTCTAAACATCTTTATCATAACCGAAGATCGAATTTACCTCTGAACTAAGTAAAAATATAACTCCTCATCAAATCCAAGTTTTATTCAGATTTATCGGATCTCCTTACTTGGCGTTATCTGTCTATTGAAATCAAACCCATGAAATTAAGAACATATACCGCTACTACTCCATGGTTGGTTTTGATATAGCTCACTTATAACGATACCCTCATATTTATAAAAGTACCAGGCCATTTTAGAGAGTGTCGAATTTCAAATTTTTCGTAGGTGAAAAACTAATTTGAATTTCTGGAACATGTCTTCACATATACGCAATAAAATGTCCCGTCCTACAGCGTTCTTGTTTGCCTTTTGACAGCTCATGACCACCAATATATTGAAGATTTCAAACATATCATGGACAATCGTCCCTATCATGTTCAACGCTATAGGGAAAACTATGATCATGATTTTATTTTCCTATTTGGTGAATTAAAATCTCTCATAACGACTCCGCCTCATATATAAAAGTCCAGGGCCATTCTTGGAGTGTTGTATTGAGGATTTTCGATTAGGTGAAAAACATGCTCGCGAACAAATTTTAATTTTAGATTCATGACTTGTCATTTATTCTATAATGGTTCCATCCATCCGGGTTTATTCGTGGTTGAGAAACTGATTTTAGGTATTTTTAATGCCGCCCTTATGGTGGAGGCTATAAAAAGGTGGTCGAGTCGAACTATTCGACGTTTTACTTGTTTTACATATATCGCTGATATTTGGCCATAACCATTGTGTTTTAATGGTATATTCCCAATCGGAAGTTCATCGAGTGGAGAAATGGTAATGGGTAGAATTTGCTGCTAATGGAAAATATATTGCAGTTTAAAAACTCAGTATAAATTATGGTATATTTAAATAACTTGCGTACGTAAAGGGGAGATCAGTGGAAACCGCTTTTTATGAGGTAGTACACCATATTGAGGGCATCTTCACTAAGAAAATGTATACCTTAGCGGTATGCATTGACATTGAAGGAGCGTTCAACTACGTCAGCCTAATACGCTTATGGACATATAGTTAACACATAATGCTAGCTGTAGCATAGAGGACATAACAATCAGACAAAGTAGGTCAGGGAACACCATAGGGAGGTATTTTATCACCACTCCTGTGGGTAATCATAGACATATAGTTAACACATAATGCTAGCTGTAGTATAGGGGACATAACAATCGGACAAAGTAGGTCAGGGAATACCATAGGGAGTTATTTTATCACCGCTCCTGTGGATAACCACCATAATGAACTTAACCAGTATGTTAAGCAGATGACATTATATTCCTTCTTAGGGGAAAGAATACTAACATACTATTGGGCCGAAACCGAGAGGCTTAATGTAAATCCAGACAAAACGGAGATATACCTTTAAGTATCTGGGAGTTATCCCAGACAGGAAACTTAAATGGAAAAACCACATACAGCAAAGGGCTGACAAGGCCCACAGATGGTAGCCTTTCTGTAAAAGAGCCGTAGACTTTAAATGTGGTTTCAACCCTAAAATGATACACAGATGATACACTACGAGCGTTATTAGACCATTTCTGATATATGCCTCTGTAGTATGGTGGACAGCAATGGACAAAAAAATTTAACGTAAAAGCGTTACAGAAAGCTCAGAGAACGTATTGCCATTGGCAAGTGTGTGGGCGATGCGGACAACACCAACTAGGACTTTGGAGACAATATTATATAGACATCCAAATAAGGTATGAAACGGTAGTCGCAGCTTTAAGACTTAAAGCAATGGACCTGTGGATAGACACCGGAAATAACATACCGCACAAAAACATATTGCAGGTAACTATTGGGTCCACAATCAAAACTATAATACCGGATACAGATGAAGAACCCGGTAACCAAACATTTCTCTCACCAACAAGGATATTGAGGATTTGGGATATTAAGGGGACAGGAAGGATCACAAAAATGCTATGGGGTGACCCAAATAAAGACAAAACTAAGCAAATCCTAACGTCAAACAGAAACGAAAGATGCTTAATCTAAATGTTCGCTAATTCTAACTTTTTTGTAATTATAGAGCGCACAACATGCCTCAACTGGCTTAAGTGTAAGTCCTTCTATTTGCTGGACATGTTTCACCACATGTGAATATCATGTGAATATTTCCTACTAGGCGCGTCTTCCCGGGAAAAATAAAGTTACGGTGCAGGGAATTAATAATCCCGTACCGGCAGTCGTTGGTAAGACCACAAGCCACGTGTCGTCGAGATCAAGCGATTGTGATCCGGCTGCTCTAGGTGTAGTTCTCGGAGGGGACGACCTACATGGGACCCTTAGTGCTATCCGCGATAGTCTAGAGGAACAGAGTAGGGAACTCTTCGACCAACTGGACAGGCTTGTACCCGAAAAGCAAAATGTGGATACACTTCGGGAGGAACTGCTACTAAATTTTACGCTGACTGATGATGAGCTGGACACTATGGTGATTCCGGCCAAGTCAACACAGGAGGATTGCTGTAGCATCAACGAAGGAAGTGTAGACCCTGTTGACTGATTCATGTGACACTTCAGTCTTCAGGCCCATTTGAAGTCATTTCTTGGGAAAAGAAAAGACTGAAGGACATTGTAAAGAATACAGAATTCCTAGAAGTATATATATATCAGTCTCAAGCTTTCTCAAACGAACGGGGTTTGATTGGTTCCATCATTTCAACCCAACCTATTTCCAGCTTGTTCCAAATTGATCCTTTAACACACATGTTGTTGTTATGTCTTAAAAAGTACACTACTATTTTTTAATTTAGTAGGAGATCTCATTAAATATTATTTTGTAAACATGTACACAACAACATACATTAAAATAACTTTCTTTCATTAATCTTAACAAAAAAAAAAAAAAACTGAAAAATATATGTATTAACTAACTCTTTGATTTCTTTTTTTTTTCTCTTTTCTTTTACAGCAATACCGATCAACCGACCAACCAATGTTTACACATTTTTTCTAAAGCATTTTCGTCATCACACACGTTAGTCTATTTTAAAGTATGTTTCTTTTTGTACAGTATATGAATGTTAAGAGTAATGAAGAAACTTGTAAAAAGATATCATGAAAAATAATGAACAATTGTGCAATATAAAATAATGTCCAAATTTAAACAATCATGTTTATAATTTTCTTTTTGTATATTATGTTAATTTTTTATTATATTTGTTGTTTTATTTTGTAATTATTTTGTATTCTGTTATGTATGTATAAAAATGTGTTTTTTTTTTTAATTATTAAAGACATTTCAATAAAGACATTCTATGAAATTAAGCAACAAAATTTGCTTAATTATAAATGACGATAATTTTATTGAAAAAATTTACAAAATTAAAATATATGCTTCGGAATATTTAGTTTATTTGTAAAGTGTAAAATATGAATGTTATTAAAAAATGTAATACATTTTATGTCTAAAAACTAAAGGGAGAACTTTAACTTTAAAGTTATAAATGTATCAATTGACATTGTTATTTTCTATATTTCCAACTACAGACAACATGCTATTATAAACGTTTATAGATCTGGCAATTAGGTTGAGTTTTGCTTTTAAACACATATAAGAAGCGAAACAGCCCTTTGAATTCTTCATATAAGTTTACCATAGTGTTCTACTCTACTTCTATGTCAGCCGTCATTCATACTACAT